GTTACATAAGCGTTGGAAGGTGCTTACACGCAAACACGGGTGGTACAATTAAGGGCGCGAGACCCACGCAGGGCCGCTTAATGACCCGTGTTAGCGGAAGTCTCGGTGCCGCCAATGCAGGAGGCTGGAAGGAAGGGATTGGGGGGGCGGGAGTCTTGGGGTGATGGGCTGGATGCCTCCTACCGGGGCCACTGAGCAGGTTGACAAAGACCTTTATTGGGGGAATTTTCTCCCGTGACAGCATTTGGGTCCCGCCCACGCCAATTCCCACTCCCCCCTCCCACCCCCGTTACAAACATCATCGTCCAAACGCCCCCTGGCCGGCAGGGGAGTGACTCCAGCTTCATTTTTCTCCCAAAACCTGCACCTTGGCCACTGGACACTCCTCCGGGCCGGCTCTGTCACTCTCCCAGGCCAACTGCGGGGAGACGGAGGTCGGGGTGAGCCCAAGGCTCCGGACAGGGCGGCAAGTGCGTCTTGAGAGCCGCAGGGGCCCGGCGCCGCCAGAACCTGCCCAACCTGGGCGCGCGGGTCCCCGGGGAGGAGCCCCTCCCGGTGGCCGCGCCGCTGTCACAGGCTGGGAGCCCCCCACCACCTCCCGTGCCCAGCGCCCAGCAGGGCCCACAGACGAGCGTCTTGCTTCCTGGGCAGGGCTGCGGCCACCTCGTCCCCAGATTCGCGCCCCTGCCCCGCGCACGCAGAAGCCACGCCTCACCATGTTCTCAGTGTGCGCGCCGTCGCCGATGGGGTCTTTCATGTGGGGGATGGGAGGGAACAGCTTCTGCCGCAGCGAGTACCTGGAAGGAGACAGAGGTCACGCCCCCGAACGCAGCAGCAACGGGGGGNTGGGCAAATCGGGCACCGAGCGGGAGTTCAAGGGCCTGGGGGACTGTCTGGTGAAGATCACCAAGTCCGACGGCCTGCGGGGCCTCTACCAGGGCTTCAACGTGTCCGTGCAGGGCATCATCATCTACCGGGCCGCCTACTTCGGCGTGTACGACACGGCCAAAGGTGCGTGCTGCTCTCCCGGGGCTGCGGTGGCGGGTGCCCCGGGCAGGGGGGCGGAGCGACACAGCGCCGTGGTCGCCAGGCCTGGAGGCTGCAGCCCGGGGTCCCGGTGCCCCAGGGCCGGTGTCTTCTCTCTCCTGGCTGTGCAGACGCCCCTGTGTGTCCTCATCGCATGAGGACGGTAGTTGCATTTGATTGCAGCTTAACCTTGAGGACCCATCTCCAAACGCGGCCGTGCTGAGGCTTCGCGGTGAATTTTGAGAGGGCGCAGTTCAGTCCCTCGCAGCAAGTGGTCCTGGAGGTCAGGGCCCAGGGCCGCTGGCGTCTCTAAGGGAACAGCTTCCAGTGCGCTCTGTGTCCCTGCCCGCGGCGCTCCGCCCCTGGTCTGGAGCGGCTGCTCCCAGGCACCCAGCGGCCCCGCTGCAGCTGCAGGTGGCTTCCTGCCTCAGGCCCTTAGCCGTCTTGGTCCTGACCGCCAGTGTCACCTGGGCTTGGGAGCTGCCCCCGGGGCAGGGCGGGGACGGCCCTGGTCTTGGGCGGCGTGTGCGGTGCCTGGGCTGACGGTGGCGTGACTCCACAGGAATGCTCCCTGACCCCAAGAACACCCACATCGTGGTGAGCTGGATGATCGCCCAGACGGTGACGGCCGTGGCCGGCGTGGTGTCCTACCCCTTCGACACCGTCAGGCGACGCATGATGATGCAGTCGGGGCGCAAAGGAGGTACTGGGTCTGGTGGGGGCGGCGGCGGTGACGGCTCCTGGGAGGGGGGACGCTGGCTGCACCACTGGCCTTCTGGCCTCGGCGCGTAAGAGGCGTGGAGCCGCCTGACACGGAAGGCGCTTCGTGGTCCTGTCCGGGTACCTGAGGGTGGCCCCGGTCCTGCACTACCTGTGACCCCTCTGGGGTGGCCTGGCGCCCTGCATGGAACCGGGGGGCGGGTGTGGGCCGGGTCTGTGTTGCATCCCCTCCCCACCCACCTGCAGCACACACGAGCCAGGCTCTGAGTGCAGGACCTTGCCTTCCCTGGGGCTGGTGCTCCAGGTCCCCCGAGAGTGTGTGTGTGTCACGTGGTCCCTTGGTGCCTGCTCCCGTGACCCCCTCTCCCTGCCCGCAGCGGACATCATGTACCGGGGGACCGTGGACTGCTGGCGGAAGATCCTCAAGGACGAGGGCGGCAAGGCCTTCTTCAAGGGCGCCTGGTCCAACGTGCTGAGGGGCATGGGCGGCGCCTTCGTGCTCGTCCTCTACGACGAGCTGAAGAAGGTCATCTAGGCGCGGCGGCCGCCCGCCCGCTGAGCCCCGGGGACCAGGACACCTGCTAGAACCCTTCACTGTCACGGACCATTGATCTTCCAGAAATTCCAGGCTCCTCGCCCGGCCAGATTACGTGTAGGGGGCTGGGAAGGCTCTAGCACGGGGCTCACGGGGACCCCTGGCACCCGGTCCCACGCCTTGATCCCGGGGAGGGGCACCCTGACGTCCCCTGGGTCCACCTCAGGGCAGCTCAGCCTCGCAGACGGAGGGCCCATGTGCTTCTGTAGGACCAAGCTGTGTCTGAGTATTTATTTAACGGAAATCATGTCTGCCGTCTACCTAAGCACCATCCTCTGCGCACAGCAATGCATTCTTTCCATTCTCGCGATCATGTTCTGTGTTGGGCATTCTGCTGAGACAATAAACACGGGACACAGACTGCCGGCTGCCTTTTGATCCTAGCGGCCGGGTGGGGTGGGGCAGGGCGGCAGTGCACTGCTGAGGGACAGCAAGGGGTCCATGGGGGGAGTGGGCAAACTGGCCTGGGGGGCGGCATTCAGCTTCTGGGGTGCACACGCGGCAGGGCCCCTTGGCTGCCCCATGAGGGGAGCAGGTACTCGGGGACCTTCCCTGCACCATTCCTGCAGGAACTGGCTCGGGATTTCCCACCAAGAAGCCCCTGCTGGGTGGCGGGCCCCCAGGCAGGTCAGCTGGCTTGTCCTTGGCACATCGTGGGTGCTCATTGCAGGAACGCCGCCCGAGGGTCCCCCAGGCTGAACGTGGGGGCCTGTTCAGTGGTGAGGGGGGTCAGGGACACTGGACGCCCCTGCCTGCTGTTCCCGTCCAGGAAGGCAGATCCTGTCTCCGCTTTGGAGCCTGGCAGGTGCAACGCTCCGTTCTGGCCCAGTGAGGAGGCCGGCTCAGGCGTGACATTCTCCACCGGACTCGGCCCAAGCTTAGGCGGCGCCTGCCTGCTGGTGAGGAACCACACAAGACGGCCCGCCGCTCGTGGGGGTCCTGCCCAGCTCCCCAGACGAACTGGCCTGAGCCACTAAACACCCTGACTTTGGGGTGGCGTAACTGGACATGGGTGCCATCGGCTCTTCTTGGAGCTGAGCTGTGCCAACCTCTGGGTTCTTCATTGGTTGGCGCCCTGTTCATTGTCACCTGGCTGAGAACAGCCCGTTCAGTCCGCTAACTGGGACCTGGTTTAATGA